AATAAATACGCATTTGGATGTATCCAACGTATAACAATTTTTTTTGTTAAGAACAATATTTCCAACTTCAATGGATCTCGGAATATAAAAAATTTGCTTATGTTACTACTGCCATCTAGCGAATAGTTATCAAACAAGAATGAAAGAAATCTGCATTCGTCGTTGCTTTCTAAAGAACAACTTTTTATAGTTTATATTGGTTTGGTGAACTACAAGATGGCGTTTTAGTAAAATTTTTAGAATTAAATCATAGAGAAAAGTAATAAATTAAGTAAATCAATTAAAAAAATTAATTCTAATATATAAAATTGTCACGGTGTGCGTAAGTGAAATATTACGAAACGGCTCGACCGATTATAGTAAAATTTTATATGCATATTCAGTAGGTCTGAGAATCCGACATCTATTTTTCATCTCCCTAAATTTTAAGGGTGGTCGTTCACCCTTTTTTTGACATTTTTTTTGTTTTTATTTTTTAAAAGAAAAGAATGTCCTTCACTATTATTTTTCTATTATTTTTTTAACGTATTAGCAATTAATCATAGTAAACGGACAATCTGTTTAAAAAAAAATATGGGTGCGTGTACTTAAGTACGCGCGTGAGAAGTTATACTTCTTTTTGGAATTATTAAAAAATAGTTTTTAATTGCATGCAGATAATTAATTACAATAAGATAATAAAAGGATTGGAAAAGGATAGTCAACGCAGTCAATAAAGTTCAGTTTTAATTTGAAAAATTTAATAAATAAACAAAATATTCAATTTAAATCACTACTGAATAAAATTTATTAGCACATATAAATTTCGCATTTGTATAACATTATAACACGTGTTAAGAATATAGAAACTAGAAACATGTGGATAAATATTATAAATATGAAAACAGTGATCAGAGGCGACGAGCGTCCCAACATGTGCGACTAAGAGATCCTATTACTATTTTGTTGGAAGCTTTTTTTCGAGACTTACGAGTAATGTGCGGTTTAGTGGCCGATTTCATGGTGTTACTTTTCTGTTACAGTGTTGCGCGCGCATCTTAAAATTTCACTCTCATCATTTTTTCACGAATGATGCGCGCGCATGTTGAAATTTCACTCTCATAATTTTTTCATAACGCGGCTAAAGAAGTATAACTTCAAAAATAAAAGTTCTGTTACTAGATACTACAGTCTGTTCATCCAACTTGGCACTCCTTTTTATTGAAAATACAGCATTAAAAATCAACTGATAACTGGATTCAATAGGTTTCAGTCTATAATAACGATTTATTTTAATAGTTTATTGGCTTCGTTAATATTTTATTATTAAATGGGTGATTCTGTTAAAAAGTTGTGCCAAGATTGTTTACCTTAGTAATGCAATATAGGCGACCATAGGTATTTATCAACATAAAAATAGAACTAGGTACCTTAGTTAATAATAGTTATTACTAGTATTTATATTATATTTATGAAAAGATTATTTCTGAAATTATCTAAAGATAGTTTATACTCCCATCCCATGTAATATCTGTTTATTTTTATGAAAATCATAATGATAACCAGGTACATACCTAATTACCGATAGTAAACTATAGGAACAGGTAAATGGAAAGACTGAACATTTCATTTGAAAAGAAATCTATCATTACTTACTACAGGTAGGTATAGGTATCATAGGTGCCAACTGACAACACTCATAAATCAATATGAATATAAGCATTTATTATTTTTATTATTAATTGCATTTTATGTTCATTTAATGCATATTATTTAAGTGCTTACATAGAGGTAAACACTAAATCTATTCAGAATATATAAAGTGTACATCTTTTATGATTAAGTATAATAATTATAACCTCAAAATCTAATACATTCTGTAGTAGGCCACGGTTCCTCAAGTTGTCCGTATCTCAACAAATGCTTATTTAGAGTTTATGAATGATTCCGAACACAACTATCATTTTCTCATTGCTGGGCGTTCTAGGGCATTCAATGTATGGGGAACGAGCAATGTCCTTTCGTGTTGTGTTAATTAAAAATTTTCAAAAAGTGTTTCTAATGCTCGCTCCCTTCAAAACTTCTTGATATTTGACATGTAGCGAGATCGAATTCAACTATTCAGGGTGTTCTAGTTCGTAAGAGACGAGTAAGGGAACTCCCGAAGCTTCCATCCGCTCTAACGGTGGTATTGAGTATATAGGTCATAATTAGATGGGCTACCAACGATCTCAATATCGCTGTTAAAAACACATATTAATATAAAGAAGTTTTACTAGAAAAAAATCCACGCGGACCAGGCAGCGGACGGGACTCGAACCCGCACCCTTCGCAATCCGGGATAATGCACTGACATACTTAAAAATAAATAAAAACATAAACATATTAATGTATCGAAAAACATCTTTATAACACTGGTTTGTTGTTGATAAGAGGATGTTTTTTTATACTTTTTTTTGCCAAGCAAGTTGGTATTCGCGTTAAACTCAAGACATTTTACATGATTTGTAAGCACTCTTTTATGTTGTCCTCTAGTAATTATCAACGATTTTAGAGAAGACGTACTTTTATGTATGAATAAAAATAAAATAAATAAAATAAAATAGCCTTTATATAATAGCCTTTTTTACAAAAACTATGCCTACTTGCTAAAAACTAAATATACATTCTAATTTGTATTAAAGTGATCGGCAACTGGTTGCTTATGTTGAACAGCTTGTCTGTCGACAAAGGCCTCCACTAAAGATTTCCACGTATTCCTGTCTCTTGCTAATCGGCTCCATGCTGGGTCAGCTATTTTCCGCAAGTCGTCTTCCCATCTTTTGTTTTGTCTGCCTCTACTTCTTATTCCATCCCTTGGATACCATTCTGTTACTAACCTACTCCATTTTTCTATATTTTCTCTCGACATATGTCCCGTCCAACGCCATTTGAGCTGTCTGTAGGCTGTGTGTGCATTTTTAAATTTGGTCTTTTTCTTAATTATTTGTAATTTTACTCTATCCCTCCTTTTTATACCCAAGATGCTTCTTTCCATTGAATTTTGGCAGACTTTTAACTTGATCTCTTGAAACTCTGTTAACGTCCATGTCTGGCACCCGTATAGTAAGCATGCCATGCTTACTTACATGTATAGTCGTACTAATTAAAAAGTTTGTAGGTATGTCGTAGACACAACTACATATAATAATTTCACGCAGATGAAGTTCCTACACTACCTCCTTACTACTAAGATATATTGTTCTTTTGTCATACAATTTAAGTACTAATTTTTTACAATAAAAATTCAATATCATCATCATCAACAGCCTATCCTAGTCCACTGCTGGACATAGGCCTCTCCAAATGCACGCCACTCAGATCGATCTTGGGCTACTCGCATCCAGCTCCTGCCAGCCACCTTGCGCAAATCGGCACTCCACCGTGCCTGAGGACGTCCTACACTAATAAAGTAATATGTTGTTTTCAATAAAATTGTTAGTGTCAAGGGCATATGAAAAGGAAAAAAAAAAACTATTAAATATTCAGTGGCATGAAAAATTTATTTGATTTTCTTTTAATTACAATATTATGCTATGCTAAAATAAATACAGTAATTGTCCGGATATCTCCATCTTATTTATATGTTCATTTAAATAATAACGGGTAATTAATAATAATACATAAAAGCTTCTAGCCTATTTATTTATTTACAATCAATGAATAAATTACTGTTTTAATAAAGTACTTTAATGTTTTGGTGACTTATTCGTTACTTTAATAGGAAACAAGGGTAAATTATAAGTTACTAAAAACATATTGTCACCCATTACCTACTAATAGGATATTTGACAAGTTTCAGAAAATTATCTTATGTTGTTTACTAATGTTTATGGAGTCCATAAAAAGTGGATAATCATCATTCTGTTGTGATTTCAGTAAAAATAACCAAATCAAAAACTCCATTTTCAAGTTGCCGCGAAAACGATTCTCTGGACAATATGGCGTCTTACTAGTGTGTGACGTCACACGACTGTTATTAAAACGTCAAAGGATACAATTTAATGTCATTTTAACCGGAATTTTACTTGCGTGTGACGTCATTTTAGGCTCTGCCAATCCTAAGCGTTTTGGGTCACGTGACAATAGATAAGAAAACTATTATCTTTTTCGTTAGTTTTTAGTAAAATTAAAAATATTTTTTTTGTAAAAATAGTTAAAACTCCTGCCAATATTCATTCTTAACACAGATGCTAACAATTGGCACTTTATATTTAACACTGTCAAATACCCTATTGGAAATTCGGAATGTATTTAATTTAATTTATCGGTGTATTGGGAATTTCGTAAATGAAGAAATAAAAAAATGGAAAACATGTACTCAGCGGTATCCATTACAAAACAACAAATCTTGGACAAATTTGAAATTCAAAAATTCAATTTCTTTTCAACAAGTCCTGAATGAAAATTACATTTTGATTTATTTAATTAGAAAACAAAAATATTAACCCTTAACAATAATGAAACGAAAATGGAAGATTGTTTCATCCAAATGACTCGATACAATTTAAAATCTAACTGTCGTGTGACCCGTATCGACAAAATAGTTTTTTTCTTACATATATATATATTCAAGGAATATTCTTTAAGAAGACGGAAAATTTGTTATTATTATTTTTATGAATAACGCTGCCCAGTTGTTTAGGTACTACTCTTCATTGTTTAGGTAAATTTGTTTCTTTTAAAGTATTTTTTAATGTTCTTGACTAAACCCATGAACATTAACGAAGAATATGTAATGTCAATGAAACAAATATCACTGCAGAAAAACTTACAGCCCGAGAACACCACAATGTTAGTAAAACTGTCAAAACTGTAAATAAGGAAAAAAATATAGATAAAGTCAAAGGGCAGTGTATATTCATAAAATTTCAATTACACTAATTCTTAATACTATCTCGACGGCGGAAGATATTGCAGCATGCCTTGCCAACGCTGGTCACTGCAGCAACGAAATTAGAGTTATTAATTTAATTAATATTTAATAAATTACTTTATGAACAATTGTATGGAAGGCTAGGGGGTAGGTGTTGAAGGCACGCGAAGTGTATTTACAATTTGTGCTGCTTGCGTTGACTCGGCAGTGCAAACTAGACGGCTCCATGATCGTATTTGAGCAAACTAAGTAATAAATGGTTTAATTGTCATATCTAACGAGCATGAAAAGTATTAAGCTATTTAATAGAATATTTCTTCTAAATTATTATTAAAAAAAGACACTATTGCTAATTTTAAGATTTATCCGAGCTTGGTTCATATTTGCACGTTTGAAGTTCTATAGCAACAGAAACAAATGATTGAAATAATGAACGGGTTCATGGAACCGTCTATATTTTAAAATAATTACATTACTTTATCGTAAAGGACCATGGACGAAATTACGTACAATGCAAAATTCATCCATAACTGAAACACTTAGAGCTTTGTTAGTGGTCCATATTTACTTATAGATTAGTAATTTACTGAAGATGGAAATTCGGGGTTATTGAATTAATAAAAAATGTACCTGCTTAGATGTATCAATGATTTATATGCATAAGGAAGCAAAAGAAGAAGTCGTTTCCGTCCATGGTCTTTCTTCGTGTTTACATGTGCTAACTGATATGTTTAATAAATGTTATCGGAAAACATTTTGTGATGTGAAAATAAATGAAAATGTCTTAATTTTGCAGTTTGTTCCCAACAAAAAGTATGACAATATTGGCAGTGAAATTATCAAAATTGTTTTTGAAAGAAAAACAGCTAGTTTTATAAATATTATAAAGTACGTATTGGTTTCGCTTCATTTAATTTGATTCCATTATAAAAAAGCGGACTCACTAAGCGTCAAAACTCAAAATAAGCTAAAGCTTTTATACTTATCGAAAATAAGATATATTTACAAATACTATTTCTATAGTGTAACATTGCATCGCGTGATAAAACTAGGTATAATGATTACATCCTAAATCGACTATCATTTTAAAATATTTGGATAGAATTTCTCGATCATTATAATGTACAAATAGAACTATTATCTACATCGGAGAACATGGAAAGACCCTGTTTCAACGGGACCTAGAACGAACACTACGAAGGTCCAACGTAGTCGTATACTAAAAACAAAACACCGAGCGAGGTATAGTTTAGGATTTTAGAAAATCAAATCTGGTAACGAGTGTATAGGATCGAACGCTTCGTCGCGTTCGCTAAACGTAAATGAAATAAAACTATTAATGTGATCCGGAGTCAAACTCTTTTAGAATCAGGTTGACTCTTGGATCAACTCGGGGCTCGCGCAGCGTGTGAACGATGTCAAATCACCGAATAAAACTTGCAGCGATTTTAGGCTATATATTGAGCTTTTATTTACTTCCCTTCTTTGAAATGTTTTTATTTATCTCTGTTTGCTTATACATCTTGCAGCATTCCTAATCTTTCTCTTCAGGAGATTTGCTTACCAAAACAATTCATAGTGTTTTTAAAACCAATTTTCACTTAGATTTTGCTGACAATAAAAGGAGTTGATCGATGATCATCAGCACTTGTACCTTCTATAAGTTTTCTTTCCCTATATCGTGTTTCTATCTTTACCAATCCTATTCTAAACTTCATAGATTTTAATGCCGCAAACGAACATGATACGACCAACTTTTTTTATGATATATCGATTTAAAGAGCCAGAGTCTTTGAATTCTCATAACATCGCCCGCACGCCCCTCGAGCCCCTAGAATTGCACGAAACGAAATGGAAGCTAAAGCGTTCACTGGGTCGCCTCAGCCGTGTGGTAATGCGAGGGGTGGTAGCGCCAAACCTGCGGCGGGGAGTACTCCACCGGCACCTCCTGCGCTGCACCACCCGCGCCCCACATGAGGACCGTCTGCCGAGGAGCATCTGGAGGCACTGGAGGTATCGGAGGCAGGGGTTCCGCTGACCCACTAGAACCGCCTGGACTAGGCCCTGCTACTGTCCCTGGTGAACGCCTTTCCTGACCCACTGGACTCATATATCTTCCCCCTTCCACGTAAGCGTACTCCCTCGATGGCGGTCGATGGTATGCCTGCGCCACTTCATAACCAGGCGGCGCGGGTTCTAGAAACCCGTTTGGCGCGTACGGTGTGTAGTGATAGGATAGAGGCTTGTATTGGTGGAATAGGTTGTCCGCTGTTAGGAATCTGTCGTCTAAAGGCGGCGGCGCGTAGTGAAGCGTCGGTGCAGGCGCGTATTCTCCGTAAGGGGCGGTGTAGGCACCGTTTAAGTTGGTATAAGCGGCAGCTACTGCGTCCGCGGCTAGATAGTCGACCGGCGGAGGAGCAGGCGTCGTTGGAACCCTTCTCTTGTTTCTACACGTAGATAAGAAGTCTCGAAGCTGTGTTTTGTATCGTCTCGCCGCTCGAGGCGGGGTGGTGACGTTGGTTTCGCACCCGGACAATTGTTCTGACTCGGAGAAGTATAGGCTGGTCAGGCCGGTGTCGAGGTAGCTCACTTTGAAGTCCATCGTTCTTTTACCGAGCAAATCGCGACCTTCCTCCTCCCTGTAATACAAACAAAGAAATTTTAGGATGGCAGACAGGGAACAACTTTTCTTATTTATTTATAACTTAAGTGCCTAACTAAATTATTCCTATTTATTTTTAGTTAAATAACCTGTACTACCGTAACCATCTAACCAAAGAAGTATTCATATAAGCGGATTGTCTTCAAGATTGTCAACTACTAACAATTATACTACTACAACTTTAATTTCATCTCATAATTTTAATATGATGTGGTATGTTAGCATTATCTGCTAGGTCTAGCTAAGGAATGCAAATTCTTTTGAAATATAAAGATATACAAATCGAAGTCAAATATCGATATCCGATATATCGACCGTATCAATAGGATATTAATCGATATTTTCAGTATCATTTGTAGCCGCAACAGTGCAAAGTGTTTTGTCAACAAAACTGTAAAGCTTTGTAATAAATTGGCAAAACAAAGAATGTGCTACCTGCATTGCCTTTGCAAACCAACCCAGAACCATTATTTTGCTCCAAATTACAAACAAAACAAAATACCATATTTTGTGTCTCTCAGTAAGAAAATTGACAACCTACGCATATCAAGCTCCCACCAAAAATAACTCACGGTTAAGATAGTACTCACTTCAAAATTTTATACTATTTTTATTTTACGGCTTTAGGCTCTGACAAGTTTATAACGTTAGTTTTAATGTTACATTTTATGCAATCAATTAGTTTAAAATATTATAAGCACTTAGAATAAATAAATACATAATAAGTATAAATTAAGGCTTCTAAATTAGCGCTATTTTGAGTTTTTCGATATCGATATTATCGATATCCATTAATGTAATAGAGAGAATAGATATTTTGGGGTTGATATTATCGATAATATAGATTTTTCGTATATCGTTGCAACTCTAGATGTGGCATTGGTTAACCAAGCACTCGTACATTATAAAAATATTTTTCTTGTCATGAAATGGAACAAGAAACTTATAAAATTCATAATCACGCATATCGAAATACACAACATATTATAGGTAGTTTAAAATTAGAATTAATGTTTTATTTTTTTAATAAGTTCAGTAGGTATACATCGTCATCATATACCCCACTACTGAGGCAGCTCCATCAGGTGGCACATGGAACGAGACTGACGCCTTTCATTTTCGAATGAGCAAAATACTAACATGAGGGGACGATGCGTACTGATGACGAAATCCGGCTTGGAGTTCTTGTAGACGAGCCGCGAGGAGGTCTGCAGCCATTGCCACTGACCCTCCTTCGTCTGGAAGCGGTACGCAATCATCCCGGAAGCACCTGTTTTTAATACTGGAAGAAAGGGAGAAAGTATTTTTTGGATTAGTTTTATCTGTTAAGGGTGATAGGAAATTCTGAAAGAAAAGATAAATTATTTTTGAGATTACTCCGCCATTATAGGGTGATAGAGAAATTGAAAGGTGCATAGGAAATAAACAAAGGAAATGTCATCGCAATCTTAGAGTCACACCCCAAATGTAAGTTTAGTATTTAGATTACTTCAAAACTATTCGATTTCTAGTGAAAAATCGATTCACTGATTTGATTGTTGATTTGAGAGAGATGGGTAAATTATGTTTATTATTATATACGATAATATCTTGTCTAATATGACTATCATCAATTCATTGCGTTTTACCATAAATAAAAAAATGTAACAATGCCAAAAATAATTAGCTTAGGTCTCAGATAAAAGATATTCAAATCTAAACTAAATAAAAAAAACCTAAAACCTATGAAATTTGATAACATTATTTCCATAAAGATCGTCATACTTACATTCTTGGTGAGCGCTGGCGACGTAAGCCAAATCATCATAATGTACTAAATCATAGCCACCCATATTTGCTAACTCTGCGTCAGTATAACCTAACAGCATTTTACCCCTGAAAATAAAAACATTGAAATTATATACCTAATACCTATGACATCTATAAGAAGAATAAAGACAGCTGGCAGCAAATTTGAACACAGGATTATTATAAATATTTTTAGTATTTTCATCTTTACTTTTTTATACATTTTACAAAATAAAGCATAATAATGCAACTGGACATTGTAAATCCTTTTTTGTCGTTTTAAAACGAATTTCTACAATCATCAAACTCCAGTTAAAGATTATTATGGTTACGCTACCTTACAATGATTGGTATTCTGAAGCACTTCATAAACAAAACTACAGATATAAAGAATGTCTGTTAGCAAAACTATCTAGGAAACTACGTTTATTCTTACTAGAGATTAATAATTGAAACTGTTAGGTATCTGATATAAAATTTAGTCTTAGCACCTTTGATCCATTGAGACTAGAGAAAGGTCGAGCTTGTGCTTGCTCTTGAACATGACTTCCTTCTGCGGTATCTCCAGCAAGCTCGGAGGGCCGAAGGGCGCGCATATCGCGAACAGTGCCAGAGGGGGCTCCTCCGTCTTCTTATTCTGCCCGTGTAGCACTTTGATCCGGCCCCGGATGTCTAGCCTCTGGAAATATAATAAATGTTATTATAATGGTTTGTTTGAAGTTATGATAGTTTTAATAGAGTTAGGGCATAGCGATGACAACGCTCCAATTGTAGCGATCTTCTGGGGAAGTAACCTCCACCTTACAGATGAACACAGCAAAATAAAACAACACTCTCTTATGGTGGTGCTGTGACAGAAGACCACAGCAAAATAACACTATCTTATGGTGTTGTGTTTCTGTCGGAGAGTAAGGTTCCAGGACTCCACGGGCTAGGGAATGGATATTTTTTGTTTCACAAGCGTCTATAGCCAATGGTGGCCGTTTACCATCAAGCAGGCCATAAGCTAGTTTGCCACATAACACGTAGCATAATTGGTCAGTGCATTCGTCCGGATTGCGAAGGGTGCGGGTTCGAGTCTTGTATGCTGCCTAAACCGCGTGGATTTTTTTCTGTTATATTTTCTTTAGACTTAATAACATTTTTTTAAATATCTCATTTGAACTTAGTTAAAGCATGAAGATCACCAGCCAGCATAAGTTTAATAATTCCTTAAATGGTCTCCTGGTGATTACGAGTACTAAGCATTTCCTTGAAGTCTCGAAAATATTTAGACTAGACAGAATCAGCATTACCAAATATTTGAACATATCATCAACTTACCAAGAAACCAGATGTGTTGTCAAGGAGACACCTAAACCGGACCGTGAAACTCCTCTCGAGCAGATGGGTCCGATCCGGCCGGAGGACGTCCTGCAGCGTCAGGTTGCTCACTTCTGGCGGCAGGAACGAGTTCCAAAGCAACTGCCTCTGTAGCTCTTCCCGGTCTTCTGAGTGCACCAACTCGTAGACCGATTGATGAACTATATCCGACTGTAATAGAGGAAAAAATCTTTTATCTAAAACATGACCCTTAAATCTTTAAAACTACGCAAGAGATTTAAGAGCAATTATTAGCAATAGATAGAGTGGTTCAAGGGGAGTGATATGGCTCAGATACACGACGATACCAGACACTAGACACTCAGTGTATACATCGACTGTCACTGTGTATCCATTGCCGCGACACTTAGTTGCAGATGTAGTGGCGATGTGGAAACAGGACATGCGACAGGCAGCCAATAAATTTGAACAGGGACATAGATATTTACACTGATGTCGACACAAAAATTGCTGACCATGTGGACGCAATCGACATTTGTGTCGGTGGTCGGTTTCGTCGTGTATCTGAGCCATTAATATATATGCATATTATACTAGTATCTATATTTCACCTGTCAACCGAGGCTGTTCGCTTGTTAAAAATAATTCTGTTCACAATTTATAATCTTTAATTATGGCAGTAATAATACCTATGTTAGAGTTATGAAAAAAATGACGAATTTACAATAACCAAGATTAATGAGGGAGAACGGTATACATATGTTTTAATAAATCCACTACCTACTCCTATTTACGTAACTAGCATAACATTAAACTTAATAAATCTTATTTTGCTAGTTTTAATAATAAAATTCTGAAACGTAAAAGGAACATAAAACAGATAATTAAATTTTTTGACATTTGATACCTACACGCAAGGCGACAACACAGCTTAGTGTGTTTATTATGGTGATAATATTTTGACGTATTTTTCTTTTGTGAGAATATTTTTGTCTTTTGTACATATATTATATAAGCGATATTACAAATGTTACCTGCGTGGCGCGAGTGGTATGTACACCGAGTTTATAGGTGTCGCCTACTCAGAGGTCCTGGGTTCGTTCGTTTCGTATGATGAATACCAGCGTTTGTACCTAAATCTTGGAGCTTATATGTATATCTGATAAATATCCTACCAATACTATAAATGTGAATGTTTGAGAGAGAGAGAGAGAGAGAGAGAGAGAGAGAGAGATTTTTAATTAACCATTTGCACGAGAATTACAAAGAGAATGAAAAAAAAACATTTACATAAATATAATTAAAAAAAATGTATGTTTCTTACTCATCACGCAAAAACTACTGAACGGATTTGAATGAAATTTGGTGCGCATATAGTTTATGACCTGGATTGAGGCAAAGGATACTTTTTATCTCGAAAACGACAGGTTCCTAAGAGATTTTACAAAACTAAAGTTCACGCGGCGACTGTTAGTCCTTATATATGTAGCAGTATATATAGGTATTCTATCCATTATTCAAGTATCCCAGTATATTACAGCTTTATTTTTTTTTAATTAGCAAAGACAAGACTCTTTGTAATAATTAATGTTTTATATGGGTATGCATTTTCTATTTAGAAACTTTCCGTAACTTTCCGTATTATGACTGACTTTCATATTATCACCTAGTCATGATAACAAGGTAATAGTTATATCAAAATGTTGAACGCTGGCATAAAAATGCAAATCATCAAGCTGACCATAAATCAATAAACGACCAATAACCCTGAAAATCGATTCAGATACGATCATTAAAATATCATCCGTAACGAAGATGGACAAGTTAATAACAAAACAGACGCAAGCAATTAATAATGTTATCCCAACGATATAGAGAGCAACTTCGAATGTAGCTCACAGTTATCCATTTCTAACACGTCATATAATAAAGAGCCGTGTAAACAGTGTGGATAATGCGCAAACAGCATATGATGCATGCACAAAACTAATTGATAATCATTGGGGTTGCCCAAGGCTCTGCACCAGGGCCCTTTCTTTTCAACGTTGACATGTAAATGAATCATGAGCATACCAAAATATACGGTAAAGGTGGATAGGAAATGGGGTTCCTTGGAAACGGGCGATGTGAGTTGGAACATATTGCGATGGCATTAAACGTCAGAGGATGATTTGTTAGGTAATTGCTTTTTGTTCTCCATTTGGGGTAGGGTACGGTTGCTACGAAACAGGCGAATGTTTTGTTGATATGCTATTGTTTTGGCAAAACATTTTGTAATGGTTGCAAAGACATTAATATCTCTTTGAATGGTTGTATTTTTACTGAAGCGAAAAGCGGTTTATGTGGATGTTCAGTCCAAGTCTAAAGTATTATTTACAACGTTTTTATTAAGTTCTCAATTGCTTAAAATAATTAAAATCGTTTAGTTGTTTAAATACTTCATTCGACATATTTATTCATCTGCATGTATCCACAGTGCTTTTGTTTGCTTGTTTTTAAAGGTTGTGTTAATTACATACGCAATGTGAAAAAACTACATTGTAGATAGTAATAGTCCTGGATTTGAGCAAATCCCATACATGTTAATTAACCAGATTTCGGGTGCGGGTAAAAATTTACTCACCCTCCGTGATTATAGGTCCATTTATAAAGACCGAAGTGAAACATCGAAGCTTGGTGGGCACCGATCAATACTGCGCACACCAGGTGCAAGCACGCTTCAAGCTAATCTATTCACTTTACCTTTAGGGCGGAGATAATAGTCTACATTCAATGAATATGAATCATGTTCATTAGCATTGCACGTTTTTATATCTGAAGAGAAAGTTCTGATATAGACCGTGTAGTGCATAAAAAATATTTATAGTACCTGTTACGAATGATAAGAAATTGTTCTTTATTGGGCACAAATAATTGTTGTTAATAGTGGATCTGTAAGAAATGTTGAAGGCGTTATTATTCTAAGGGTTAAAGGTATCTTTAGATAAGGACTACTCAAGACTCAAAAGATAAAAAGACTCAATAGAAATCATCTTTTTTATATAGTCGCTATTAAAGTGTAGACGCATAGGTCTCATAATTGCAGAATACAATCCTCTAAAACAGTTCTGACTGATACCTCGTTGAGACTAGATATTTCTTTATTCACATTTTTTTGTCAATGGTTTTCATTAGAAAATTTTGGATTCCATTTCTGTTGATAGTGATTGCTTCTGTCACTGATTTCATTTGCGTTCTGTAGACTACTTCCCGCCACGTGTCCCAGTTGTTTGGGACCTGGCGGCAAGTACCAAGCTCGATTTAATGATTCCCAAATCGACTCCTTTTAATCTGAAACTACCCCTCAGCATAGCACAGCTGTGAGATGTTTCAGTGTACAGATATGTCTTTAGGTAAAAAAATCCGATGGAGGTGAAATGTTTAATTTTGGAAGCCGAATTTCGTGAACCATTTAGGTGCTTGGGTCCACTTGCAGCAACTTTGATAAATCGTTTGAAAATCGTAAATTTCAAGTTAATATGATTAACTTGAGATTTACGACTTTATTGGTTGATTAACGGACCATCTTCATGAACTTCAATTTTCATGCTTATTAAAGTGACCTGTTGATTTGATTTTTCTATTGATTTCCAAAATCATTTGACAAGATCACTATAATCTCACTTGAAAAATATCTGATCTGAGCGTGGCCCATTTAGTTAAGTTTTAATGTAATTATAGAATAGACAATCAAAGTAAATGGATAAGAGTATCGTTTCCTTTTCTATTTATGTCCTATCTACGAAACTTTATCTATGTGCAATGTATATAGTTGTTCAGGTAACTCAGAGTCACTCGGTTGCCATTGCCACCAAACAAAAGACTTGGGGGTAGAAATAGAATAAAATATAATGTTACCGACTGAAAGTTTTATTGATGGGGTCGAAACATTGCCGATGTGGGGTTTTTACTCCTGATAGCAATATTTCACGGGGACTTTATTAGCCGTAATGCGAGGGCATTTATTAACGAGCCTTTTAATGCTCGCTTTTTTGTCGCGCCCCGTTAGGGTACCTCTGGCTTTGTTGGAACATTAATCGTTTTATGAATACCTGGTGCAATTATGGATTTATTACCGGGCTCACATAAAAAAGTGGCCTAAAAGCTTAATTTATCGGATTTTTTTTATCGAACGACGGTTAATAAACTATTTTCATTTTTTACAAGTAAGGTACAATTACAGACATTAGCAAACATATTTTTTTTTTATATAATTGAGCATACTGACAAAACGGAAAAGATATACAAAGTTTTTGGGTGAGCATAGCATAGATAGCAGATTTTTAGCAAATCAAATCAAAATATTGATCAGTAACTAATGCTGTTAACTAGCTTCCGCTGCCCATTGCAACTTGCTCCATAGACCTCTTAGCCCTAGGGTAAATACCCCTAATTTAGTTAGTTAGTTAATCTCAAACGAAAAATTATATAAAAATAAGAATTACACACAAATACAACATTTTATTAACCTTAAACTTTGTGCATGAATCACTCAATGTTTCCCTACTCATAGGTATAGCCAATTTTTTTATCTAAAGGATCAGTTAGTCGGTAACCGGCCTCGGCGCTTTAATAAACTTAAAGGCTTTTCGAGTTAGGTTATCGCAAGTAATTAATATTTTCATACAATAATCAACTACCTACCCCGAATAATTAAATTGGGGTTGGTTGGTGTAGTGCTGTTCTTATCTTATTCGTTTTTGATTAATAACTCCACTTTGCCGTATACTTTTTAATAGGCGTTATAATATTTTCGTAATTTCTGTAATGTATGGGTGACATTTTACGGGTAGCTACGCTAAATAAGAAATGGTTTTTCTTTTATTATTGTTTTGTATAAGTTCACTTGAACACGCTGGTTGACTACAAATTTCATATTTATAAAATATTTTGTATGTAATCGCTGCTTGTTTCGTAATCACAGAGCACTTTCTATTTTTCAAAAAGAAAGTTTTTCTTGTTGCCGTACCATTTTGAGATTTGTCAACCGATGTTAATGAGATGATTCTTCTTTTTTGAGGTTCTATATCCATAGGGTAAAAACCCTATTGCAGTCCCTCTGTCGTTAGTCTGTCTGTCCGTACGTCACGGGTCTTAAGATCGTAAACGGAATGAGTTGCAGTTTTTTTTTTCAGATAATGCGATCCTAAGGGGACCTTAAGCCGAGAATTGGCGAGTGCCTATAGAGGTATTCCAGGCAGATGGCAGCTCCCCACGGGGGGAGTCTCTTCTCTGTCTGGAGCCTCTAGACCACTCGAACCTTAGGGGGATAACGAACCTGAGGGGGGTGGCACAACAGAAAATTTAGTATTTTATGTAGAGTGCTATGTAGAACCCACAGCCAAATATTTAGATCAAATTATTTTTCATGGCGAGTGCCATTTCCATACATGAAAAGGAATTTTTCCTTTTCATCCCAACATGTAATTGATGTCCGTGAAATCAAGAAACCGATATAAAGCTGAATAATCTGAACTGAACAGAGCAGAAGCTGAACAGCTATTTTTTTTAATTCGGTTTGAATCAGTTTTATTTCGGTATTGTCCGATATTATTTTTCCGGTTATTTACAAAAAAGTGCTGTCTACAATTTTATCAAACAGATACGATTACTTACCTGATGGAAGCCTAGGTAACTCTCGATGCTGTGCGTCGCGAAGAACACCTCCCCTTCGCACGTGAGGATCATCAGGAAGCCATTGAGGGCCTGCAATAACAAGACGTTATATGGTATCAATTTATATGCCTTATGAACATGAAAATGAAGAAGAAAGATCAGCTTAAATCTAAGTCCTGTAAATTAAATCTTGTACTACCTATCAAGGCCTATTAAGGGGGCTCCCAGTGGGCACAGGCCTTCCCTATGGATATAATAGGGACATTGGGCCATAACCCACCACCACCCCCTCAAGTTCGAGTGGTCTAGAGGCTCCAGACGGAGAGGAGACTCCCCCGTGGGGAGATGCCATCCGCCTGGATTACCTCTAGAGGCATTCGCTAATTCTCGGCTTGAGGTCCTCTTAGGATCTCGCTGTCCCTAAACCCCGTGACGCTGTAAAGGTCATCATAATATGTCATAAGACATATTATTAGCTTTGCGGTGGTACCGCGAAAGATATCCTTATAGAGACATACCTTCTCGATATGTGTTTAAAAGATAAGTGGTTACTTTAAGATATTTAGGTCGTTTTGATATGCGCTTACAGAAACCACAGCAGCGGATGATAAACGTCAAAGATGATTTGTTGAAACTCAACATTTTAACTTACTTTGAGGCGTATCCGATTTTATACTAGTTTAAAATTAATTTTAAATAACATGTTAAAAATTACTTTTTTTTTCATTTAAAATGCTATGTTATTTAGCAAAAAATAATCCTTATGATTAACCCTTTCGATGGTTATAATTAAAATATGTCGTGTTTTTTTTTTCGAAATTTCAACAGTTTGATTCCCAGTCAAACAGGCGGTTTTTAAAAAATCTGTGAATGCAGTTCTAGTTAATATTAAAAATAAAATGATGTCTTCTTTCAGTAAAATATCCTATCTTCAATATTTAATATTCTTTCCCTCCGTGTGAGGTGGCCCTGGGACGCATTATATATACAGGTGTAAAAACAATACAAACAAAGCTTGAATGGCGTTGAAGTACATCATAAAAGGAGTCTTCTCTAATTTTCTTAAAATATTTGCATGAACTTTTAACTTTTTATAAAAACAGTTATTTTTAATCTATACTTATAATAAATCTGTAAAGATGTCAATTCTGTACATGAAATATATTTTAAAAATAACTATCAGGGGGTGATTAGTGATCGATACTGATGCCAAAAATGCAATCAGTAAAAATTTTGTCTGTCTGTCTGTCTGTCTGTGTGTTTGTTCCTTATAGAAACAAAAACTACTCGACGGATTTTAACGAAACTTAGTACAATTATTCTTCATACTCCTGGGCAGGTTATAGTATACTTTTCATCACGCTACAATCAATAGGAGCAGAGTAGTGAAGGGAAATGTTGGGAAAACGGGAGAAGTTACTCCATTTTTTAAGCTTCCGTCGCGTGTGCACCCTTAATGGTTAAAGTTACATTGAAATCATGTATGACGGAAATATTCTACATAAAATTGTCTAAAAAATATCCCGCAACAGCATATGTCTATCTTTTATGGTTGACTCACAAAAACACGTGTAACTCCCGATAGCTTAGCAGTTCGGAGCATTCTGATCATATTTGTTTACTCTTACGTTTATAATACTCTGACTCACCCCTTATTTAAAAAAGTTAACATTATTACCAATTCAATAAAAAAAACATAGAAATCGGTATTGAAACACAACATTATTTTTGTGTAACGGTTGCCGCGCTCGACACGGGTCGCGGCGGCGGTAGGGTATCAAAAGGCGGGAGGTCCGAGATCGAGCTGTCTAAATCTGTTTTCTGCGTCGCTCCCCCCCTGGAGGACGATCGCTTCCGATGAAGCCTTCCCGGCCAGAGGCAGCCCCTACGGGTGTTTTTTAGTCAGTACGAGTCTGACATAACCTTGCAGCCGGCTGTAGGGTATCCATGAGGATTTCTCACCTGCTCCCCCGCCTGGGAGGAACCAAAAAAAAATAAAAACAGAGAGCGAGCGAGCTTCAATATTGGTGCGTTCAGAGCGTTCGACCTTATTGACAGACAATAATTGATATTGAGAAACCGTGCTTATCAGCGCCTCGATCGACCTTTAGTCTTTAAATAGTTTATTTGAATTTCTTTTGTTGTTATTTTGTAAAATAGGTATTAGTTGTTTTGGTAGTGTTTAAATATTCGTTCAAATTAAAAATTATTGAGCGTAGGTACTTTTATTAATTAAAGTAGTTATAAGTATTTATTTTTAAGTGAAGTAGGTATAGGCAGATAGTATTGTACAGGCGTTTCAGCTTTATTATCATTTATTTTTTGCTGTGAGTTGTATTTTAGTTTAAATAGTCACTTAGATTTTAAGTGTAAGGTAGCATAAGTTAGGACCACGTATTAGTTGTTTTGGTAGTAGTGTTTAAATATTCGTTCAAAGTGTAATTTAATCATATGGGATGAATGTACGATGGCCCATCGAAAAGGAGTAGAAGCGGTAGACAGAACTTTAAGAGATATAAGACAAAATGATCGACCAATGGGGGGTATCACAGTTTTATTTTGTGGTGATTTCCGACAAACCTTACCGGTAATACCACGGGGAACCCGAGCTGATGAGGTTAGGGCTTGCCTGAAAAGCTCTTATTTGTAGCGTGATATACAATCGGTGCATTTGACTATAAACATGCGAGTGAGAACTGTAGATAACCCGGATGATCGTGAATTTTCTGATATATTATTTAAGAAAATACCTTCACCAAAGATACCTATCCACTGCTACACCAAGGAAAACTTATTCTGACGCCTGAGTTATGTTGTATAGTGCAATCCCAACAACATCTTATATCGTCAGTTTACGGTGACGTAACAAATATATTAAATAAGGACAATTCTTGGCTATGCGAAAGGTCCATTTTAACTCCTCGCAATGACCAGGCATCTGAGATTAATAATAAAATACTGTCGAATATCCAGGGGGAAAGCAAAGTTTATAGTTCAATAAATAGAATGGCCGATGAACAAGAAGCCACTAATTACCCGATAGAATTTTTAAATTCTTTAAATATAAAAGTTTAAAAATTGGCATTCCGATTATTCTGCTCCGAAATTTAAGACCACCACAAATTTGCAATGGAACTCGGCTTAAAGTAACCCAGTTGCAACAAAATGTAATCGAGGCTCAAATTTTAACAGGTTGCGGTGCAGGAGAAACCATCTTTATTCCCAGAATTCCCATAATACCAAATAATTTTTATTCCAATTTAAAGGAACGCAATTCCCAGTATCGGTGTGCTATGCAATGACAATAAATAAGGCTCAAGGGCAGACTTTTCGTGTTGCTGGAGTAGATCTCGGTGTCAGTTGTTTTTCACATGGTCAGTTATATGTCGCTCTTTCCCGGGTTAGCAGTTCTAGAAATCTTTATGTTCACGTGCCGGACGGGTCAACTTTCAACGTAGCTTACCCGGAAGCTTTGCGCTGAAGTATTTTCATTCTATATGTACTTAAGCCTCATGTGAAAGTGATCTAAACAATATTACCAATACATTAACATAATAACATACAAGGAGTTACACGCTGATGGTCTCGGGGCACAGTGATAATAATAATATTCTGCGGTTCCTTATTGCAATATTTTTAACACACACACAATACTGTGGATTGACATATTATATTTCCCTACTAAAATACGAAAGTTAATCTGTCTGTCACATCAAAACCACGGAACCCTGAGGAAGGACATATGCTACTTTTTTACGAAAAACGACTAAACGCGGACGAAGTCGCGGGCAAAAGCTAGTGATTAATAAAAATATCGATCATTTTAAGACTAGTCACCAGTTCAAAAGTTAAAACTTCATGCAAATATTTTAAGATAATTAGAGAAGACTCCTTATAAATGATGTACTTCAACACCCTTCAAGCTTTATTTGTATTTTTGTAACACCCTGTATGTACATAAGTGATGTGTGCGCTGCTCCATTCCCCTATGCCTTATGCACCGCCTAATGTTAGGTTATAAGAAAAGAAGTTTCACTTCAGATTTTTTTACTCTGCGATCGCAGACCGAACGCTCCTCTTAGCTATCGAGCTCCTTTTGAACACAAAATTTTAGTTCACTTTTTGTGAGGCTATACAAACAAGCTATTGCTGTTGCAATATGTAGAGGTGAGCTGAAATTTACGGAAAGTTGGAAGTCGACTAGCGGCGACGGTAATACATGGACAAAGTACTCGAAATACCGCCGTGTGTTTCCACTGCTTGTTTAGTGGTCTTACAAAATTTTATTAATGTATAATTTTTATTTCCCCTTATTTTAAGTATTGGACTTTAAAAAAGCATAATAGAGTACTACAGTTTTAATTGTTTATTTATTTATTTTTACATTAATTAGAACGGAATAAAATCTACTTACAATAAATAACAGGTATTAAATACTACTCATACAATAACGTCATACACACTGACAGCCATTTTTTCTATTTATTCGCAAACACATCACTTTTAAGACTGGCTTCCAGGAGAATATTAAGTGCAGTAAGGGTGCGTGGGATGGACGATCTTGCAAGATTTCATCAATAACCCTCTTAGGTGTATGAATAAACGAAGAATAAGTTTTTGCATTAAAAACAGTGTTTTTTTTAATGATTGGTGTGCGTGAATATATAAGAAATATTTGAATATTATTAATTATTTTACATCACACAAATGATGCATTGTGATTCGATACACATATACAAAACACTGCGTATCTAAAAGGTATTCTGTTAGTAGATGTAAACAACTGTTTGGACTCTCTCTTCTTGTTATATTTAATGATATTTTTATATTTAAACGCAAGAAAACACAATCCCAGAAAAAAATGTGTTGCTTTGTAGATATTGGATTTTAAACATTACCTACCTAACATACTCATGTTTTTTAAGTATTTAACTGCTAGATTTTTAAATCTCATCAGCGCATTCGCCCGGATAGCGAAGGGTGCGGGTTCGAGTCACGTCTGCTGCATGGTCCGTGTGGAATTTTTTATAGTAAACTTTTCATTACATACCATTAAAATCATTATGTTTTTTTTCCTTTGAATGTTTTTTTTTATATTTGTAATGTTATTTATAAAATTAAATTCTACGAATTTAATTTAATTAATCTCTAACCAAGCAATTGAATATAAATTATTTCCAACTAGTTGAAATTGCTTGAGACACGAGATTTATTTGTAACACGAAATCCGTACCGTCGTCGCTGTCAATGGAAACGTGTTCACTGCGAATGCCAAGTCTAAAATGTTAAATATGAAATATGCTCTCAAACATTTATAGCCTGCCAGCCCCAGCACATTGATATATTTATTATCGAACAAAATATTGCACGAAATTTATTTCAATAGAAGATTGGATTAAATATGCTACTTACAGTTACTACATTGCAACTTGTTCAAAGTTATTTCATACCCTAAAGGGTACTCAAAGTTATTTCATACCCTAAAGGTACTAGCTAAAGCTAGTCCTTTTTGACAAGAAAAAATCTAGAAAGACCATTGACATTAAAACCGGTCACCCATCCCACATTGACCACACGGAAAGTAGCTTCACATTTCCGATCGCCTCACCTGAAGGAACATTTCTCCGTCCGGCATCGCGTGGTCGTACGGCGAGTGCTCTCGTCTATGCCCGTGGATGTCCTCTTTGTCTTTGTGCATGACAACTGGAACAAGGGAAAATGATTTTTAATACATAATAGATTTAGATATGACAACCTCCGTGGCTGAGTGGTTTGTACGCCAGGTTTCATGGTGTTGCCGATTCGAGATGTCCTGGGTTCGAAACCCGGTGGGGGCAGATGTTTGGGTGATGAATACGAGCATTTGTACTCCAGACATGTTAAATATGTATTTCTATATAAATATACTTTTGTATTCTATCAGTTACCCTAGTATCCCATAACACAAGCCTTATAGTGCTTACTTCGGGGCTAGGCTAATTGGGATGAGTAAAAAAAAATAAAGAATTTATTACATTAAATATGTATTTCTATTTAAATATACTTTTCTATTCTATCAGTTACCCTAGTATCCCATAACACAAGCCTTATAGTGCTTACTTCGGGGCTAGGCTAATTGGTGTGAGTAAAAAAAAATAAAGAATTTATTACATTTTTGTCCTTCCCACCCTCTTCACCTAAAGTATCATTTTTGGAATAAAAATGAACCTATGACCTTTCTCGGTACTCAAAATATCTAATATACCTTCCACACATCTAAATTGGTTCAGCGGTTTAACCGTTAAAAGGTAACAGACACAACGACACATTTTCGCATTTATATTATTAATATGCATTAGTAGATTAGAAAGAAAAATAAACAATATAACACATAACTTTTAGTTTTGTTTTTTGGAACCTTGAATTTTTTCGGCATAACAAGCATTCTAATGTAGCAATCCAGGTCACAAACCATATGCGTACCAATATTCAATCAATCTCGTTCAGCATTTTATGCGGGATTGAGTAACAAACATACAAACCTACACATTTATAATATTAGTAATGCCACATGACTTCTTATTTATTAAATGTATTCTTCTATGTTAAAACCATTAAGTAAATGTTTGAAGAACAACATAACATAGTAAGTCATAGTAAGTACATCTTACTTACAATGTAGTTACAATAAAGAAATTCATAATAACACTTAAACAATAAACTATTTATTTTCTAAAGAAGTTTTATTCCTATTATTGTGGAAATGTGAAACGATGCTGTTTTAAATTTTATTAATAATAATGTTACGAGTATCACCATAAGTGGCGCCAAACGATCTGAAAGTCATTCTAGTTACAAATATAATAAAAAAAAAACTTAGAGCAATAAATTGCTTAGCGGCGAATATAAACAGTGGCAGTCCTTTATGTAGCCGCCTTATGAAACGACCGTATCTTGAGCATGCATTTTTGAAATGATATCGTAACTCGTAAGTTCAAATGTAATTTTCAACTTGATAATTGTCGAGACGTGGCTACGAACGTAGCGATAAATAAATTGTGAATGTTGAAAAAACGTTAAGACTTTAATAATAATTTGAACTTTGATTAATGAAATGAAATTATACTTTATTTAAATTGACTTTTTATTAAGTCAATTCTTTTGAATTGTCCAATATTTTTTCCTACCACCCCTTCGGGACATCTTTTAGCTGATGAGAAGAATGAGTGCAAGAAACTCATCAGCATTTAACAGAAGTAAAAAAAAAATACAAAACAATCATGTTGATTTCTGTGTCATATAGTATAAATACAAACAATGTTCTATTAGATATAATTAATTCAATTTGAATCATTCAACATTCATTTTATAAGTTAATTTGAATAAAGTATAATTACATTTCATTTAATTTAATTTCATTTATCAAAGTTAATTTTTTGTCAATAAATAATAGGCCCACTTGTACCAAAAATCGTATTTCAAATTAAGGCTTTTTAATCGTGTTTAACAAGTCATTCTATATTTGTCAATTGTTTAATGTCAAATAGAGATAGAGTGAGCCTGAAACACAATTAGATTTTGCAAACTAATAAAATAATTACAAAATATTTATCATTATATAGGGTCTTTAATTTTATATGCATAAATAAAGTAGGTATTTTATAGTTAGAAAAGAGTTTGTTAGGTTATATTAATTTAAATAAATATATTTTTATGTTATAAGGTTATTAGTTTAAAATATAATATATTAAAAACATTTTTTTATTTTCATCCAATGACGATAGAACTCTACAAAAACAAAATCTATTAAAACACATATTTTTTTTGTAGAAATGCAAGATTATTTTTGTTACCTATACGTGAAGTTTAATATAATTATTTTTATTTATTATTCATCAGGCTACAAAAGCCCATACATTAATATCTTATAGTCTTACATATATAAAACAATGTTTTTAGTAAATAAAATTAAAAACCATGTTAGTAAACATAATATAATAAAAATTAAAAAAAAGTATAGTCGCTGTTGTAAGGCCCCAACTTTATCCAAGTGGCGTAAAAATAGTATCATAAAGTTGAGAACCCACCTGCTTTTATTAACTGCCGCGGACTTCGCTTCGCATCTATCAAGAGGGTGTTATTTAAGATCTTATTATAAAAAAACTGAATATATACATCACTGTTACTCCGCAAACACCATGTTTGTAACTGAGACACAATAATTCGTTGTACATTTTCAAATGTGTCAACACTTATTGTAACATCGATATGAAATTTCTTCTCCGATCCGTTCCTTATACGTTTGAAATAATTTATTGTAGTTCTATAAACGGTATATTAAAAAGCTTACCTACGTTTTGTTGCGCTGTCGCAGGCATATCTTATACATCAAGTGTTTTTCAGGACACACAATTTTCTCTTAACAATTACCATGCGCATAATTAAAAAAAACAATTAGAGGTAGAAGGAATAAATTATATTACGTGAAAAATACTGAAGTCACGTTAAAATTCGATGCAATATTTATAAGAAAACACACAATTCGTAATGCACACAAAAAATATCTTATTTCTTTTGAAATTTTTTTCAACGGCGAATACAAATTGTTGACTTTCGGTAGCATTTAAAATCTAGGGATTGCAAAATCGAAAGACATGGTGGAATTTGACAAAGTAATGATCACTACCTACGACTATTCAAATAAGAGATTTATCTTTACTATAATTTTGCCAACTAATATTATAAACGTAAAATTTTTAGTTCCCGAGCGATGTTTAAAAACTAGAGTTAACGTGGCCGAAGTCGCGGGCGACCGCTAGTAATATCATAAAGAGGATAGAGTTGTATTTTGGAAGCTTTTTAAATAACAAACTCAAAAACTACTGAGCCGATTTAAAAAAAAACTTTCACCAGTAGAAATCTGTCTTATTTCTGAGTGCCCTTATGCTATGTTTTATCGTGTTAAGAGGGAAAGCGAGCAGGGTTGTTTTCCATACAATCGTTCTCGCCTGATTCCTCTTTGATTTTTATCTTTAACAATATGATTTTCATACATAAAATATAATTTGACTCATTCTATGCTCCTATCTATTCCTTTTTTCGATAACTAGTGTTTCGAAGCCACCAGAAGCCAAAAATAAACAAATCTTTATCACCACTAAAGACGTCTAGTGTAGAGAATCAATAAGCATTTAAACGTAGAGGCTTAGTATCTCTACTTATAATTAGGACAAAATTTCTGTTACGTACATATCTTATAAATATTTTCAAGGAGGAAATCTTCGAGAGCCAAACCTCGAATTTAGTTCAATTTTTATATGCAATTTTCAACGTTACAGAAATAGTTTTTTCAAATACCTATTTCTCAAATGTCCATTCCAAAATCGGGGTTAGTGTTGGGTAGGACACGACTTGAAAAAGAGTTTGTAAGAGTAGCCTCTTTTTTATACTAAGCCAGTACAATGTCCTACTTCAAATGAGGCAAGGCGTACTGAAGCTCGGCAATACATTTGAAGTGACGAGTACAAATATGACATTGAGGCGTACAGAAGCTCGACATTACGTTTGTGTGCATGAGTAGCACCTGGAGTGTAAGTTCTGAACGCAACCCTGGGCTGCGTTCAATACCTACGCTCTGAGTGCAACTTTTACTCTGCGGTTAAATTTTGACAGAAAATGTATGAAGCTAATGTCAACTTAGATATTTGTTGCACCTATGTAGAGCGTAGGTTTTGAACGCAACCCAGAGCGTGTGACAAGGATTATTTGTCGTGTGGATGACTTTGACAAGAGGGCGTTGTACTGCAAATTAATTATAGAAAACACAGTGAGACAGCATTATTTCCAGTCTGTGTCATGCGATGAGCCACAAGATCCTTGTCGCACTGTAACACAGACTACTAAGATAAGAGAGAGATAGGTACTAATACACTGAACCGTAGAGTACTTAAATGAAATGTCATGACTCGCTCTCTCTCAGACTTACGAAGAGTGAGTGAGTAACGAGACGCCACTATCGCGACATTTAATGTGAAGTAATACATTTTAAAATTTAGAGCCGCTCTTTCATTTTGACGTCATGTCCGGGACAAATGTACCGCCTCTGGTAAGTCCTACTCAACACTAATCGGGGTGCGTCAATATTATCTATATACCAACAGATTTGATATCTGCGTAACTATCACATAATAGAAAGGGCGTCGCCCGTCTCTGGACAAATCACATTTCACCGTTGTTAAGGGGATGCTGTGCACTGGGTGTGAATATTATAATGTTCCCAATGATCGGTTATCATAAGAAACATTTTCCGATGCAGTTATTAGTAGGTATGATTTTTAACTACGTTTTTCCGTTGAATATTTAGCTGAGATTTCGCTTTTTAGTTATTCTTTCTGTCGATACATAGAAGGAATGACTAAAGAGTTAGAAGAAATAGAAAATATAAAGCTTTTTGTTATACAATTTTAGTTTTGTTTTTGTTTAATTGAGTAAATTATTATATTATTTCTTCGGAATATGTTGTTTCAATAAAATAGCCTACCTTGAAATTCCTAATTAAATTTCTTGACAACTAGTGTGTTTTCAAATAGCTATTCTAAGAACATTTAAAAAAGATATTGAAACAAAGTACTCTGTTCATTTTAGTAATTTTCAAAGAGGTTGTTATATTGAAGACACTTCATCAAGATAAAATGCCGCTCACAATAAATAAATCATTTGGCAAA